CTACTTTCTTACTTCGAAATCAATCGTAGTCTGGTCCAATTTGCATAATTCTACGTATCACACAAATTACATCGTCTCTTCTTGCATTTCCAGAAGAGGCTTTAATCAGTGAATGAGTTTCCGGCTACATATCAAGTGTCTGTGCTACCTCCGGAATGAAGACTACCTGGATTTGACCGTTTCAGTTTCCTTTGCAGAGACTTGTTGTTGAATGGAGTCAGCGCTTATTGTGCCTCAGTTAATGTAAAGGCCAACGTCAGCTGGCTGGTAAAATCATTAGTTCTTCGTTCGTGTTGTTCGGCGAGAGCGCGTAACTCATCGAATCGTTCATGAGTGATTGTTCGTGTAAAATGCTTTGCTGAAAGAGTGGGCGGGTGGATGGAATGTTGTTCGCTGCGGAGGAGGGGAGACAGATCACGGTCTGGTGCAGGATCTGGCCTTCATCGAAATTGCGACAAAAGCCATGCTGAGGAAAACCACGTAAGGCGCTCGCCGACCAATGAACAATAAGCATTCTGTTTACGACGATGGCGCCTCGTTCTCACCCTGGTCGTCTCGGCTGTCTTCAAGCTCGGCCTGTCATCATCGTACGACCTGGCAGTGCTGGAACAGCCGCTGCTGCCACCGTCTCTTTGATGGAAGACACTCGGCGGCGGCCGTCGGCGGCGGTCGGCATTCATTGCTGGGATGTACGTGTATCAATGAATGAGGTTTGGCTTGCAGAGGAGGAAGCGGCAGCGGCAACAGTTTGAGTTAGGTTGAGCGGACTGGTCTTAAAGTCTCTCGCCGTCCGTCATTGACAACAGTCGCTTGGGTGCGGCAGGCGTACATTTGTCTCTAAAACGGAGTCGATCGTTGAAGAAGCTGAACACCGTCTTGGAACAAGAGGCGGTCGCCATCATCCTCATCAGTTGACCGTGGATCGAGAAGTTTTCGCTGTGAGAAGAAGGTCGTTTTCGAGCCTCGATTATCTGCAGTCTAAAGGGGGACACAGGCGCAAAACTCAGGTAACTGCCGTCATATATTACAGATGCTAGTAAACCAGCTTACTCGCGTCTACCGACTGTACATTTGTTTTGTGACAGGCTTCGGGAGACAGCATTGTCTTCGCGTGCCACAAACCGAAGTTTGGCGTGATGGGTACATTCGCTGAGTACCGTGACAGAGTAGCCGAACGAGAGCGCAAACTGGAAGCAGAGTACTCGGCGAAGATCATCTCCCTCTCAGAGGAGGTGCTGGCTGCAAAAAAGGATTTTGAGGAACGCATGAAACAGTTCCAAGCTTTACAGGTTTGTCTCTTCTGCTAATTGTTCACCACAGAGTAAATCTCGTAGTCAGTGTGTTTTCTTAAGCGATTTTCTTGATATACATTGAGGTCATTAAAAATCAACTTCTGAGTAGTATTTCTCAGCAGCTGTTCCCTATTTTACCTCGAGTTCAATTTAGCAATTAGATCTGTTTAATCGCCTGAGCCTCTGGCTTCGCATGCTCAAACGGAAACAGGGCAGAACGTTCACTATGTATGAGCAAGGTAAAGGCAGATTTGTTTTCACAGTGGGATTGTTTTTTATATGATGCAGTAACTGCTGCATTATAGTAAAGGTGTCTAAAAGCTTATGCTGCAGCTTACGCCACATACGAGAAACGTTCTTCTTATACAAAACGCTTATGGTCATTTCCAAGAAATTTCTCGCTGTGATAAACATATCGATAACAGAAAATCTTACATTCATAAACAGACAACATACAATATCACAGATGAGGACTAATTCCAGTTAAATCCTGGTTCATTTTGTGTGACCAGGTATGTTGTATCTGAACATATAAAATATTTTCTTCGATCTGTACACGGTAATGATCACAAAAATTATCATACTTGATCATTGTGAACGTATACTGGCTTAGGTCGAAACAGGGCAAAGCTTTAGAAGCTGGGCAGAACCGAACTTCTAAATCGAAACTGATTCGCAGTGGTTGAAGTAGTTAATGATTGTATTCTGTGTCGTCCTCGCTTTACAGGATAGATAGAATGACGCACTGTATCAAATCATCTTTCCTGATATAGTACAGTTCTCAATGTGAAACTTGTCTTCATATTTATTGGTCTTCTAATATCATTGGTCTTTTGACACAATTCCTTTAAGAACAAGTATCATTAAGAGATATTGCACCACCCCTTGCTTATAGTTGCCGAGGAGACAGAGCAAGCCTCCATGGTATTTTCGCACCTGCAGTGATAAATATGTATAGTATCATTACGTTCGCTACAGTAAGTTCTTGCTCATCACGAAGGGTGTATTTATCGGCTTGTTGAATTTATATGGTAAAGGGTATTTCGCAGTCCAGAGATAACGGGTTCGAATATGAGAAAGGGGCGATCTTTGCCTTAACCGTGAACAAGAACGAATTTACCTCAGTTTCCTTCGGTGCAACCAACCGAGAAACGGGTAATCTGTCATTGCCTTGAGGGCAGCAGCCCCAATGTGATGTTCCGATGTGATCAAGTCAGATTTGGTTGAAAGATGCGGCTGTAATTCGCCTGAACCTACCGCATCGCCTTTTGTCCAGAGCAATAATTTCTCATTTGTTGTATCCACATGAGGGATGGTGCTAGTAACTGTTTGACTGTGCAAAGATTGTTTCGATTGCACCTCCAACACCAAACCTGGGTTTGCTTTCTTCTACCATGTTTTGTGCTGATCATCGACCATTCGTCGGTCACGTCTGTGTTCTCATATTAACAGCGAGGAAGTCAAGTGGGTTTGGTTATTTTCTCGTAGATAACCGAACTGCGTCAATCAACATAATATGGATGATATAACCTCGCTGTTAGTTTTATTGTGTCATCCTTTATTGTTATGTACAATGTTTTGGAAAGTTATGGCTTGCCCTAGGGTTCAGTTAAATAAATTTCACTCATTGACTTACTGGCAGCCCTCTGCCCTGAAGTGCCTGAAGCATACGAGACAACGTCAGCTGATTCAAGAACATGATCCTGATGCGGTCGTTCCAGCTGGTGCAAGATATCAGCCTTAACTATAGATGACGGTGTCGGGTAGGTGGAAAACTACCTAAAAACTCAGTACATGAAAGATAAAAACATTTTCAATTAAAGCAGTAAAATAAACAAAATGACAGTCAAATTGCGAGTCAGCAACGCAGCTGCTAGCCGTTCTGAACGGAAGAGGTAGAGAGCGCGATGCCCTTGGTAACACGTCAAATAGCGATCCAGGAGAACGACACCGTCAGTGTGAACTTACAGTCAGAAACTGGAATATATCCTTACTCAGAGGGAAAGAGCAGGAGCTAGTTAATGAGGCCATAAGGTACCAACTCGACATGTTCTTTCGTCAGCGAAACGTCAAGGGTATGGATTCCTGAACCTTTGCGGGTGGAAACAGTTCTGCTCAGCTGTGGACATCACGAACAGCGCTCAGGCCGGTGTTGGTCTATTGGTAGAACACAGCCTAGAATGAGAAAATCATTAATGGAATCTAATGGAATGCTGTAAGTCTCTCACACTTGTGCGCGGGAATCATGTTCAACTTTAGCCATTGTTTATTCGTATCATACTTTATTAATGAAAACGGTACCGTTGATCAGGTACCACTTTTTCAACCTGGTTGAAATTGGACCTTGAGGCCTGAAGAAGCGTGTGCATAGACGCTTTTCGTTATCGTTTATTCTTTACCATTTCCCGCTCCTTTTTGATGCAATAATGGAAGCAAGCTAGTCTGCTAGTCAGAAATGATCCAAAAGATTGCGGATTTGAGTCCTGATTGGTTCATTCACTTTTCCTTTTGCGGTCAACAAACGATTGTAATTTAGTGGAGATAAGACCGTGATCTGAACGACACAGAAGCAGTCTAGTTGTATACATAGGCTGTAAAACAGGGTACTTATGACTGATGTTTTCGAAACGTGAATCACCGCACGCACCGTAAACTCTTTAAATTAAATGGAATCACAAAACGGCACCCATCATGGAAGGGTAATGAAAATTAAGATTTAACGTCCACAAATGTTTTTTTATTCGAATATTTACTCATCAAGCCGAAATCCAACTCTGATGAAAATTTGGTTTTTGGAATAGTTGGAACGTGCTCTGACAGTTCAAAAAGAATATAAAAACGGAAGAACTTCTTAATAATTAAATACCATCATAATCTTGGCCCGTTCTCATTATATCATTCAAGATGAGGATGGTAATCTTCGACATTTGCACCTGTCAGAGGTCATTTTATTGACGAGGAGTTGCATGATTCAAGCCAGATTTTAACTTGGGCCCATCAGCTAGTGCATTGGGGTTAAATAAACAGTTTTTGTTTTTTTTAATTTAATTTTTTTAAAAATTTAATAGTTAAGCATTTTATCGCTGTAAATGGTAAAGCACCATTTTTACCAAGAAAATTGTTAGGAAAA